AAGGTTCACATGCAAAAACCGTAAATACTGGATGTCTTAAGTGTCTGTCACTGAAGATGTGGAGTCTTGCTTTGGTCAACTCATCATAAATAGAAGCGGAGCCGGAAATTAAACTTGAAATGCCGTTTGCTTCTCTGCCAAAGTGACTGGATCAGGATCAGACCAACCTACCAGCAGCAGTTTTATTGGCATTTGACTGGTGGCTGGTGTTAATCAAGGCACTACAGTGTGTGTTTATGTGTCTGTGCGCCTGCAAATTTGGCAGCAGCATGTGAGAACACGGGATGTGTGAATCTCTTCACTTGTGTTTGATTTAAAACTCTTGTGGTCAGTGGTTGTGTATCTGGTCAGTTGGCTGTGTTTGTGTGTGCTCGTTGTGTGTCTGTTTATCTGTCAGTCCGTCTTATCTTTCCAGTGGAAAGTCGACGTGTCACATTAGTTATTCTTGAGCCTGTTGGAAGGGTTGAGATGGTAGCAGGTGATGTCTTTTAAAAACCCACCAAACCACAGCCCACATGTCCTAGTCACTCTGCGTACATTACTCATCCTGGAGGCATGTACACTTCACACACACACACACACACACACACACACACACACACACACACACACACACACACACACATACATACACACACTTCGCAGACACACAGTCCATCCTTTTTTTTTTCTTCTTTTAAAAAGAGCGAGTTACGTGGTCGAAGTTGTAAATTCACTTGTCGTCTCTGAATTCAAGAGCTTGAACTTAAAGTGAGTGAACACTTACAGTAGCATCACAGGAGAAGTCTTTTAATCTGTCATTTGGGTTCATGCGAGTTGTTTTCAGGACAGTATTTAAATGTTTTATGATCGTTCAGAGAGAAGTGAAAAAAAGCAGCAATAATTTCTTTTGCCATGCAACACATATGTAGAATATCTTTATTTAAACCCAGTGAAAACGAATAAAAGCTGCATAAAAGTAATAACTGGTGAATAAGTCAAATAGTTACCTTGCCACAGAAACACCATTTACATTTTCAGTGTGTGTATTTAACAGTAAATATTTTGGAATTTGGTGTAAGTAATTTTCTGGTGGTGTTATTCTTCTATGAGAGTTAATAGAGTATTTTGTCGACTGTTGATCAGATAAAACACCTATTTTAAGGCGTTTTTATCACAATTGCTTGTTTGTTCTTTCGCAGCAGGCCACGTACACTGAAGTGCTTAAAATGTTTTATATTCTCCAATCTAATTTGTGTTATCCAATTAAGGTTGGGAGTCTTAAAGATGATGATACGTGTTCTTTGTGCACTTAATATTGATATTAATGATATTAATTACTGTTATTTTAGTTCCTTAAATTCTGCTCTTAAGTGTTTTAGTGAGTTCATGGCGATGACACTTTCAGGCGTCCTGTCTTCCCCTTCTTGGTGTCGCAGTCTGTCAGACCCATTTTACATCTCTGTCCAGCTGTGTGAAACAGTTGAAGTAGCCGTGTAGTTATCATTCCTGAGGTCTCTTGTGAGTTTTGTCTCAGTCATATGATCTTTAGGAGGGTTTGTACAACCTCTGTCACCGAGGTGGTCCCTCCCCGAGGAGACGCCCTCCGTCTGCAGGTTGTAGGACTTGATCAGTCTCACTTGTGTGGGACCAAATATGCACCCGCCCCTCTATTTCTTCCCTTATTTCCATCTGTCTCTGTCCTCATGTTAGGTTTTATCCTATCTTGTATCTAGGGATTTTCAAAGTAAAAGCCAGATAGGTTAGGTTTTCATTTTAATCTGGTAAATTTTGTGAATACTGCAGGAAGACAGACCCCAGAAAAAATAAAATTAGGACATTTTATAACAAATAGTTGAACCCTGGCATACCAAAACAAACCCACATGAACTTACTCATACTGTAGCTCATTCCTTACTTTCCCCGATCCTTTTCTTATTCTGTCTTTTTAGAAAGGTTCAGTTAGAGGTCCTCCGCTCCACCACGACTATTTTTAACAAGGCCTGAAAGCCAAGCATTGGACGGACACACATGTACACACACACACACACACACACACACACACACAGTCCCACAGACCCTTAGACAGGTGCCAACTTTTGAGCCGAAAAGTGTGGTGTGGTGTGTTGTGGTGGGGTGTGTGCATGGGGAGTGACTGTGGGCTGGTGTCGGAGGAATGCGTGACCTCGCCGGCCTCTGCCGCTGTTTGGCTTTGATCGGACATTCCTCTGGAAGTTTCCTCCTCCTGCTGTCACCGAGCCGCAGGGCAGTGATACGGCTCTGTGTGTGTTATTATATGATGATGGGAAATAAAGAGAACCAGTGGTTTTTTTGTTGGTTTTTTTTTTTTTTGTTGTTGTTGTTTTTTTTTTTTTACAAGCAAACAAAAGGGGAGGAAACAGTGCTGGGTACAAATATTGAAACACAGAGCCACAAAGCAGGTTCTGGTGATTATTGGTATATTACTGGTATTAGTAGTTGGTGGTAGCAGTTAATAGTTGTTAAAGTACTGTCCTGAATCCAATATCCTGGAGAGGACACAATGACATAATCCGTGCAGTATGTTGAAAGGTCCTATATTTTACACTTTTCTGTATTATCTTTGAAGTTTTAATATCCATAAGGAGATATATTCGTGGTTTTAAGAACCAAAAACAATCCTAAAAAAACAATGTAGTTTTACATCTCCTCTCTCAGGCTTCTCCCTGGAGCTCTAGTAGCAACAGGTCGATCAGCCAATCAGAAGAGAGGAGGCTCTGAGCTCTTCCTCGTTTACGTTTCACAGTATTAATATAGAACCTAGACCTGCTTTATAATTGGAAAAGAAGATCCTGAAGTTTCCAAAGATACCAAACAAGTCAGGATAAAATGTAGAGATGCAGGTGATATCTTGAATATTTCCATTTGATGTTGAGATGCAGCCATAAATGTCACGGGACTTTGAATTATAGCTGGAGCCATTAATCGATCCAATCTGCGACTGTTTTGTGTCTGAAAGTTATTTTTCTGTCTTGCTAAACAAATTCCAACTTCTGATTCCAACTCGTCAATAATGAGGATTTGCTATTTTTCCTGTTTTTCTCTCCACTCTCTCTTTTGTTACTTTACTGAATAGATTTGAGTTTTCGACTGTTGGTCAGACAAACCAACAAAATCTAGGGCGTTAGGAAATTGTGACGGGCATTTTTCACTGTTTCCTGACACCCAACAGTTAAGTGATTTATTAAGAAAGTAATTGGAAGAATAATAATAAATAATAATTGCAGCCCTAGTTTGAATATTTCATTCATAACTTCAGTGAACAAGCTGATACAGAATATATATGTGATGCAGTTAGTCACTGTAGAAATTTGAATATTTAGGGGTTAAGAAACAGTTTTGACAAATGTAGGGAAGAGTGTGTGTCCGGGTTTTAAAAAAGGACTTTGTCGTTTTGAGGCTTGTGATGAAGAGAGTCTAAAAAGAGAGAAAAGAGAGATTTAACTTATTGTGTGTTTGTATTTCCTTTAAAAAAAAAAAAAAAAAAAAAGGAGAGCAAAATAATCACCTGGTGTGTTGATATTTTGGGAAAATGTATTTGTAATAAACAGGCGACAAATCTGTGACACGTTTCAGGATGTCAGAAGTCTTCAACGGGAGATTGTACATGTTGTAAAGACGAGTTTTTTTTCGGGAGAAAGTAACTGCTTTTTACGGGTGGTTTAAAAAAAGGCAGGGAAAGTTGTTGCGGCTTTGTAAGACGCTTTGATTGAGGAAAGTGTGTGTGTGTGTGTGTGTGTGTGTGTGTGTGTGTGTGGGAGAGTGGAACGAGCAGCGCAGGGGATTGTTCTTGATGAGCTAAGGAAAAAGCATGCTGTGGGTGTGTTCAGGAGTCTCGAGCAAAGGACAGGAAGTGTTGTGGCTGTGCAGGGAGAAAGTGTGTGTTGTGGGTTTGTGAAAAAGCTTGTTGTGGGTGTAGAGAGTCTTAAATAAGGAGGCTGTGTGTGTGTGTGTGTGTGTGTGTGTGTGTTGTAGTGGCAAGGAGAAAGAAAGACTTGTTTGAAGTTTGAAGAAGTTTTTTTATTTTTTTTTATAGATTTTAGAACAATGTGTGTGTTTGTGTTGTGGGTTTAGATGAAGTTTGATCGTGTGTTACATGGGGGAAGGAGAGGCAGCATCTTGTTAGGATAAAGAAAAAGACGTTGGCGAGTGTCCAGAGGCAAAGAGTGTTGATAGTGTGAGAAGTTTTAAGTGAGGAGTGTTTGTCATGGGGGGGCAAAAAAAAAAAGAGCCTTGCTTTGGTGTTGGAAAGCAGTCAGGAGGAGAGACTTGGTGATTGGCTGAGGAGGAAGAGGGAGTGTTTCAGAGCAGTAAGGAGTCTCAAGGACGTCTTGTAAAGGAGTGGACAAAGAGGCAGAGTAACCCGGAGTCTGGATTGGCCGCAGTGAGAGCGAGTGTCTTGTGTGTTTAAGATCTTGAGGAAGCAGAGGAGAGAAACCCGAGTGTGCAGAAAAGGAGGGAGTTCTGGTAGGAAGAGAGGTGAACGGGAGGACAGGAAGGGAAGAGGGTGTCAGGCGAGTCAGAGAGCAGAGACTGGAAAAGATAAAAGTCGGATAAAACGGAGGAAGGAGGGGAGGAAAAAGGAGGTGAGAAAGAAGCCAAAGAGTTTCTCTGTGAGTGAAAACTGTGGCAAGAGAAGAGCTGACGAGGGAGAAAGAGAAGGAAGGGAGGACAAGAAAACAAAGCAGCCCGAGGAGGGGAGGGTGAGAAGATTTAAAGAAATCTTTTGTGGAAAAAAGTTGACAGCGTTAATGAGAGGGAGAGTTAGTTAACAAGTGTCTAACAAGTCTCTGCTGCCAGCCACACGAAACCAAAGACTCACACACAGAGACCAAAATACCCATTGAGAGGGAGCTTAGTGACAGGAGCTGGTGTTTTTGTGTGTGTGCTGCTCCTCCTCCTCCTCCTCCTCCTCCTCCTCCTCCTCCTCTTCTTCTTCTTCTTCTACATGCTGTTGTTGGCCTTAACTGGCGGCGGGTCACTGGGGCGCCACTACATCGCCATGTTCGAGGCCACGCAGAACGTCACGCTCAAGCCTACGGAGTCCTGGAGGGAAGCGTTGCTGGACACCCGCGTCATGGACCTCTTCTTCACCGTGAGTATCCCATCCATCACTTGTGTGTTTATCTTTCTCAGGGTGTTTTACCGCCCTGAAAAAGTTTTTTAAAATGTCTCGGATCACTTGCTTTGCAGCTTTTAAAACTCTTAAAACCTATTTAAGTGTTCAGTTTTGAAGTTGAGAGTTCTTGTTGTTGTGTTTCTGGGCCCGTGCGGATTTTTTAATTTTTTGCCTTGATGAAATTGCTCCTCCGTTTCATTTTACACGGCACAATGAAAAAGGAAAAGCTTTAAACTATCTTGACAAAACCTGCAGATGCCATGCTCTCTGATACTTTATATTTCCCTTTGTCACCTAATCTGCAGCGGTCTGTCTGTATCTCCTTCTGTTTTCCATCCATCCACATCTTCCTGTCAGGGAGGTCGCCGGAGTTTTTTCATGTGTCCTGCTTTACCCTTTCTTCTTCTTCGGTTTCTTTCCTGACGTCTAGATGGTGGTTTATTTATGATAAACAAAGAGAGACAGTTTGCCTTTTCATGTTGGGCAAAGAAATCCCACTTGACCCCGTCTTTTTGGCACATGTAAAGTTTTTACTACTTTTTGTGGGTTCCTTAAATGCACCATTAAGTAGATTTATGGGTGCTTTGCAGTGGGGTCGTGTTATTGTGTTACTGACCAGAGGACCGCCCGGTGAAGTAAATGTGTATTTTTGTGCAGTGACTTGTGTGTTTAAAGAGGCGGCCCACGCTGGCTGAGCAAACGGTGCGGAGGGGAAGTGTGGAACAAACCGGTCAGCTCTTCTTCCACTCAGCATCCATCCAAACCCTCTGGCTGCCCAATCGCCAGATAGTGATCCACTACTTTGCCCTTTTAGCTTCCTGTTTTCCATATACTGCTGCGCTACCTGTCACTTACCTGTTGAATCTACAGCTGCACTTGTTGTTTTGGCTCATGTTCACTATCTAATACTGTTTCACTTCACCTTATCACCTTATCACCTTATCAGTCAACTATTTATCACTGTTTTACTAACTGATATTTCCAAATACTGCAGCTTCCTTAAAGATACTGATCCATTACAATAACCTTTTACCCGTCTATTGCAAAAATATTGTCATACTACTCCCACCAGCTCCCTGTCTTTATGCAGAAACTCCAGCCTCACTCTGCCAACTGCGTGCATGTTGCCAAATACTGGTCCGCTCACATAGCCGTTTGGGCCCAGACACACACCAACAGTCCCACAGCATTAGGTGATGTTGAGAGGTGTCTGACCGGCTGTTCGACCTGCTGAAGTTGTGATTTGTGCAGTTTCCACATGTTTTTTTGCCTTTTGTCGTTTCATAAGCAAAACACAAATCACTGTCTGGATGTATATTCCCAGCGTGTGACGAGATTGTTTAATCAGACGGATAAAAACGGAGACTACATGCTATTTAATTTCTTCTAACGCAGGTGCAGACCGTAGTACGTACATGTTAGCGGTCAGCTCAGTCGGCCATAGTGTTATGGTGTGTTCAAGTGCAGTTTTTTCACAGGAGATGTGAGGCGACCCATCAGTTTGTGTTTTCTGGTACTGTTTGTTTGAAGTTGTCCCGGTGAGTCAGGGCTCTAACCTGCCCGCGACTAAACTCTGCTGCAGCTTAATCACATGTTCATGCTGCTGCCTCTTCACGCTTCTTGAGGCCGAACATAGCATAGTTCTTTAGATAGAAAATTACTCTTAATTTACAGTCCATATAAACACTTTCTGTCAGTGTTGTAGAATGACTGCTTCTTATAACACCGGTGCTGCCTGCGGAGCCAAAGTTTTTCAGTTAACAGAGGCAGAAACTTTCAGCCTGGAGTTGTGTTTGTTATCAGACATTAGACATTTTTATCAGGAAGTGGTGGTAAATAATGGGGTTCCAGTTTTCCTGTTAAGTCTGTTTAGTACTTTTATTTTAAAAGATGCTCAATGGAAACTCTGGTTTTCGTTTCTGTTTGCTTTTGTTAAAGAACTTTGGAAAATTTGTTTCAGTGAAGTATTTGCTCTGTAATACACCTCGGTGCATCTTTTCTGTTTGGATTATACAGCTTTTGTTTTCTAAGTGAGCTTAAAAGCAAGACTGGACATTAATTCTTATGTTGTTGTTATTTTCAATCTCGTGAAAAATACAAATGTATTAAATCTTCTGCAAATTTTAGATGTGAACAAAAATGAGATCATTTTATTCAACGTGTGATGTGCATGTTATGACAGATGCACATCCAGTTGCTTTAGGGACAGAAACGCAGCATCTAAATCCTGGAGTTTCTCTGTTGCTGTTTGAAATTGTTATTTGCTTTATGCAACACATCTGGTTTAAAGTGAAAATAAACTAAACAAATCTGCAGCAGAAACAAACAGAACTAATTCCAAATGCGTTTCTTTTTTGATTAATTGTCATTCTGACTCTTTGCATACTTTGCCTTTAGACGTGGGTGTGGGGACTTGGCGTTACACATCTGTAAACAGTAGAGAACTACAGTGAAACAATAATTCTCTTTTGTCGTACAATCTGCAGATGCTTATTTACAGTCGTCCCCCCACCCCACTGTGCCTGATAATCACCCTCCACTGACTGAGTCTAAATGTTCTTGTGCAGCTGAAAAAGTTTGAAGTCTGATTGTCAATTCTCAAAGCAATCGCAAATAACTGTAATTGGCTCTAAGCAGCGAATGTAATCAGAGATTTAATACACAAAGCACACAGGCCTAATCAAGGATTTGATTGGCCGATCGCGGCAGTTTGGCATGGATAAAAATGTTTGTCATTTTTCGGTCGGTTCTCTTTGCTGCTGGAATCTGCAGGATGCGTTTTGTGTTGGTTTCAGTTTTCAGGCCTCCAGTCTCATCTCTCGCTCCGGTATTTCTAGTAGCTCAACTGTTTGTTATTGTAAGGCTGCTGTGGCACTGTCAGCTGTCTGTGTGTGTGTGTGTGTGTGTGTGTGTGTGTGTGTGTGTGTTTATTGTGTGTGCATGTTTGTTACAGCATCCTCCTGGTTGTGTTGTGTGCATTTTTTGTTTGTGTTGGCACATATCTGTCTCTGTGGGGCTGCGTCAGTTTGAGCTTGTGTAGTGTATACTTGTATGTACGCTCTGCATGGGGATATGTGTGTGTTTTCATGTAGTGTGTGTGTCTTTATCTGTGTGTGTGTGTGTGTGTGTGTATTTATTCAATTTAATGGGGTCCTCTGCTGTCTCAGCTGCTGCGTCTCCTCAGCTGTGAGGGGTAACAGGCTGGCCAGGGTATGTATGTGTGTTGAGGGGTGCTCAGAGACACGTGCCACCAGGGTCACAGTCCACAGCAGACCAGTGGCAGGATTAGAGCCCGGCCCCAGGATTAGGGGCCCCTGTTAACAACCGCAGTAACCCACCCATCAAACACACACATAGCCCTGTTGAGGGGCCCTGGGGAGTCTCCCTCCCCCTGTGGGTGGGTGTCTGTCAGTCTCCCATTAACTGGCTCCATTGCTCCCTCGCCGATCAGTGTTGTGTGCAAACAGGAGGCTGCTGTCAGTTTCAGCAGCTGCGGGGGGGGGAGGGGCGGGGGGGCGGGGGGGTGGGTTGACTGGTGATGAGAGACGTCTCATCCCACCTAATAATTCATTTTTATTAGAACTTGGGTCTTATTTTTATAGTTTTATCCGTCACTCCTGTCAGGAACACAGCTGCATGTTGTAGTTGTGTGGGCAGATCACATATTTTGAAAGGAAATAAATACAAACCCTGCAGCAAACAGACATTAAAAATGAGCCTGTCTTCAATGTGCATGCACTGTTAGTGTTTCTTTCATGATCTTAAAAAAATAGAAAAAAATAAACAGTAATTGTGGCATGTGCAAAAGTTTGGGCACAGGAGTGGAAATATTCTGCTCTGTGGGTTTGTGGCAGCCAGTGGCTCAGGACACATTACACAGACAGAGAGAAGAATGGATTCCACTAAATATCAGTAAAGTCTGGATGCAGATTCTGTCCTGCAGTCAGTCAAGAAAGTGAAAGTGAAAAGAGGCTGGCTTCTTACAACAGGACCGTGATCCAAAGCAAACATCAAAATCCAACACGAACGACTTCAAGAAACAGAAACTGAAGCTTTTGGAACGGCCGTCACAGACCTCTGAACTGAACATCACTGAAACATCTGTGGGCAGATCTAAAAATATCTTGTAGTGATCTGAAGAAAGAGTGGGTGAAAATTCATAAATAAGGAACAGTGAGATTCTTAGTTGGTTACAAAACAGTGTTTACAAGCTGCAAAGTTTGTCAAATGCCACAATTACAGTTTTATTTCCTCCTTTTGTTTTTTTCACCAGCCTCATATATATATATATCCTTCTTTTAACATAAAAAATCAACAAAATATGTAATCTGCTCAGGGCTGGCCATAACTGAAGTTACATGGTGAGATGTGGGAACACAGCAGCATCACTAATAAGCGGTCAGACAAGGAAAGAAACACAAGCTGTCATATGATTGGACACAGTTTTAACATCATGGTTAAACTTTTAACCTTAAACTAACATTATTAACATAATGTGATAAAAGTTTTAGCTTGTTTACAACCTGTCTGACAGTTAGTGTTTCTTTCTTCTTCTTTTTTTTTTAATGATTATTTCTTGGATATTTTATGCCCTGTAGGTGAAACTGAGAGAGAGAGAGATGACAGGAAGTGATGGGGGACAGGCAAGGAATGATCAGGATCAGTCCCTTAAACCTTAAGCCCAACAGGAAGGATGCTGTTGTAGTGATGTTGCCATGTTCCTAGATCTCAGCACTTACAATGGGGAATACAGTATCATAGCTGACAGTGAATGGAAGTGAAGTAATGGCCAGAAATATGAACATAAAACCCAAGTTGTAATAAACTGCAGTTTTCCTGTAATTAGCAGGATCACCGAGAACCCGCTGAGTTGGGGCGTGAGAGGAAGTGGTTGATTTTACAATAGCTTGTAAGAACCAATAGTCAGTTGTCCTGTAACCACACAGATGTTAGGTTTTTAATGTCAGACATGATTG